GAAGGGGTGTGTAGGGTTCAAGAAGTGCTATTTTACCCTGACAGGTGACAGCTGAGTGATGGCCTGGTTTCAAGATGCTGCTGCTATGAAAATTAGATCACATCTAATTTTCTGGGATTTACTGATGGGTATAAAAGAGACAGCAAGTTGATTCTGAGGTTTTTGACTTGAGCAACTATTTTTTTTTTTTTTTTAAGACAGAATCTCATTCTGTTGCCCAGGTTAGAGTGCCGTGGCATCAGCTTAGCTCACAGCAACCCCAGACTCTTGGATTCAAGTGATCCGCCTGCCTCTTCCTCCCAAATAGCTAGAACTACAGGTACCTGCCACTACACCTGGCTAGGTTTTCTATTTTTGGTAGAGATGGGGGTGGTGGTGGTCTTGCTCTTGCTTAGGCTAGTTCTGAACTTATGAGCTCAAGGGATCTTTCTGGCTTGGCCTCCCAGAGTGCTAGAATTATAGGCTGTGAGCTACCACACACGGCCAACTTGAGCAACTAGGAAAATGGAATTATCACATACTGAGATGGGAGAAGGCTGGGGGTGGAGATTGCAGAGCAAAGTTGGGAAATTGATTGTGGACATGCAATGCTGAGTTCAGTAAAGTACATGAACCTGGAGTTCAAAGATGAAGTTGAAGCTGGAGATAAAAAATGTGGAAGTGTCGCCCGTAGACTTTTTAAAATTAGGACATCCACCAAGGCTGAGTCCTGGGTGTGCTTCCACTGAGACTGAGAGGTGGGTGAAGGAAGCTGGAGAAAGAACTGTTGATAAGGTACGAGGAGAACCAAGAGAGTGGATGCCTTAACACCAAGTGCAGAGGCTGTTTCCAAGAGGAGAGTGAGCAACTATATAAAATGATGCCGATAGATGCTGAATAAACTGAGGCCCAAGAATTGACCACAAGATTTGGCAGTATAGTGGTCACTGGCAGGTGGTTTCTATGGAGACGAGGAGGCAAAACCTTGAGGACAGACTTGGGGAGGGCAGAGATATACCTTCTATAATCTTGGTCCCAAATTATTTCTTTAGTCCTATTTCCTATCTCTGACTCAGTCCAGGTCCTGAGTAGTCTTCTATGCTAGGCTGTTTCTGATGCTGTTAAAATAATGATTACAGGCTTTTCTCCTGCCTAGGCTAGTCCTCTGCATGACTAGGCAGTGTGGGAAGGAAACTGCCCATAGTGGGAAATAGGGCATGGGTTCTAAGGCCCCATGGACAGGGTTTGAAACCTTGAACTAGAATCCAGAGCCATGGAGCTGGAGGAGGATGTGGCCATTCTATAATCGAGAGTTTCTGTGACCCCCCTAGAGTCCAGAGTTCTGAGGACATCTCTCAAGAGGTATGATTTTATTTTATATTATGAACTTCTGGGACAGATTTTATTTGAATGAATATTTCATGGTTTGAAATAAAGCATAAAATCCACTAAACTAATCTCATGGCTGTGTATCAGATTGTGGCTTCCACATATCGCCCCCCACAAAAAAGCACCAGAGCACCTTGGAGAAATAGCTGATTCCAGGGTTGAACCACGGAATGTACAAGGTTAACCTGAGAAAGCTTATGACAGAGAGCAAGGAAGGGAAGGTGTCAAAAGAACATTGGAGTAGGTGGAGGTGACTCCCAATGGCCAAATTTGGGGAAATCTGAACATCGAGAATAATGACTATGGATAATTATAAAGCAACAAGTGAAACTCCATTAGAGGGACACTAAAAAGTTAAAGAAAATTAAAGAAAGGGGGAAAACCTCTTGACCATCTTTGAAAATGACTCCTGCCAAATTCTTTCTCTGATAATCGGTAATTAAAGAGAAAAAAATAACATTTACCTTGTCTTTTTAGGAGGAACTATAATTTAGCCTCAGCTGAAGAGTTGGAAAACTCTTCTCTGCAGAAGAAATCTTGCTAAAGAGGGAATGGCAGAAATTAGCAAATCACCATTGGGCACCCCCAAATGTAAGTGGATGCTAAAACTATGAAGTGAAAATTTGTTTTGGAACAGGATATTCTCATAGACCAAAACAGCATTCCACAGAAACTGCAGAGAAAAAAGAAATACCTTTACAATGGAGAGATCTAAAGAGCATCTAACTTAGCACCAGTGGTGGGACAATTAACATTCTGAGGCTCTGGATATGGTACAATAGGAAATTTAAAGCATCGCTGGTGACATCCTCTGGTCAAAGATGTTTTAAGTGTAAACTACGTGAGCCTTTCATCTATCTTCTATTTGATTAAAAGGTTATTGTAAAAAATTACCTTCCTATTTACATGAAAATACAGGAGACAGAAGAAAATAATCAGACAAAAACAGAATATGTACTTTAGGTGAAACCAGTTCAATCTTTGAAAATTTAGTGTCATGAAGAAAAATAAGTGAGGGCCCTTGTTTTCGACTGGAAAGAGATTAAAGATTTATAACAACTAACGGTAATGTATAAGTCATGTTTAGATATTGTTTTGAAGAAACCAGCTATAAAAGACAATTCAAATATGGATTAGATATTATGAAATTATTATTTTTTTAAGGAATGAAAAATAGTATTGTAGGCTAGGTGTGGTAGCTTACTCCCATAATCCCAACACTTTGGGGGGGGGGGCCAAGGTGGAAGGATCACTTCAGCCCAGGAGTTTGAGATTAGCCTGAGCAATACAGCAAGGCTCCACCTCTACAAAAAATAAAATAAATCAGCTGGGCTTGGTAACGTGCACCTGTAGTCTCACATACATGGAAGGCTGAGGCAAGAGAATCACTTGAGCCCAGGAGTTTGAGGCTGCTATAATCTATGATGATGCCACTATATTCCAGCCTGGACAACAGACCAAGACCCTGTCTCAACAACAACAAACAGATAAAAAAGACAATAGTATTGCAGTTATAATGATCTTATTCTTGAGAGGTATAATATATCTTAGGGGTAAAGGGTCATGATGTCTGCAACTTTCACACAGCTCAGCAAAAACCTCACTTTATGTATTTTGTACACACACAAACACATGTACATACACATCAATATACATAGCAGAGTAACACTTGCTGAATTGGGTATATGGTTTGTTTATAGTACTATCCTTTCAACTTTTTAATATGTCTGGAATGTTTCTTTATAGAAGATTGAGGAGAAATATATGGTACAGACTCTGGGCCTAACCCCTTTCATCTGGAGTTTTTAAAGATCACAGGTGACTGATGCACAGTCAGGGATGAGAACCATGATGTAAAAGTTTGTTGATCCAATGCCCACACTGAGTATGAAATTGAGGTCTGAAAAGTTAAAGTGACTTTCTAAGGAATAGAACAAGAACTAAATTCAAGTTCCTTGGCTTTCAGTCTTGCATTCTTTTCTTATAAATCTCTTAAAGGAATTTCCCAGATAAAGGACCTTCCCCTCTTGAATACCTGAAGCTCTTTTTTTTTTTTTTTTTTTTTGCCAGCAGCTGAATTGCTTAAAGAAGGGTTTGGGCACCGGGAAGGTGCTTAGTTGTTGCAGTTAGGTTATGGGATGGCAAGTATCAATAATTATTAGAGGGGAGAAATCTATTATAGGTACTAAGGGAAAAGGACAGTCCTAATTTTTTTTTTTTTTTTT